TCTTTTTATAGCTTCTGCCAAGGGCGAGAATCCCATTGTTCTTACTGTGGAAAAGGATGGAGTCCAGCCACATGAGCCATTGCATAGGCAAATCAGCCCTCCCAAGAAAAGCCACTCGTATTCACCACCTCCATCCAGGGACTGTGCCTTAGTATCTAGCCCCCTCATCCAGGGACAGCCCCCCAACAGTTCTCACACCTAGAATCTGTCCCCCATGCCCTGGATGCACCTACTCCCCATGCCTCAATCCTCTGCCCCACTTCTCACACCCCCGTGGCCCTTGCCCCCTTCAGCCTCCTCCCTGCACTTGCTGGTCTCCTACCTCGGCTGCACATAACTCAGCAGTGCAGCCCACCCTGCCCACCTGTCCCTGCGAGCCTCGTACTGGGGAACTTGCTCCAGCCAGAGTCAGTGGACCCACGATCCTGCAGGATGGGCGGGACTGAGCACTCTGGTCTCCTGTTGATGCTACTAGGCCCAGTCCTGCCTAGGCCTGATCCAGGGGTCCTGGAACTATTTGTTTGGTGGAGGTGCTGAGAGCCTTTGAATCAAGTGATAAACCCTATGGGTATGTCTACCCTGCCACCCTAGTTCGAACTAGGGTGGCTAATGTAGGCATTCGAAGTCGCAAATGAAGCCCGGAATTTAAATATCGTGGAACGAGGTGTACCGGTAGTTCGAATTGGAGAGCCTAATTCGAACTACCTACTCCGTGCCACGGGTAGCCGCGGGCACGGAGTCCGCACTAACGGGGATTTAAAAATGGCGGCGCCCAGGAAGTTTCCATCATATATAGGGTATGTCTACCCTGCCACCCTAGTTCGAACTAGGGTGGCAGGGTAGACATACCCTATATATGATGGAAACTACTTCAAGATGGGGGCGTGGCAGCATCCCCAGCACCCTAAATTGCAGCACCTATGGCCTAATCCTGCACCACCCATTTTTACAACCAGCACCAGTTCTATAGGTGCCCCTCCCAAGTTAGCCCTGAGGGTGTCTCACAGGCCACAGCTGTGTGCTGACAGAGAATCTCTGCCCTATAGACTGGTTACCAATGATCCCTTCTTAGCAAGTGTGACTGTTTGCAAAGGAAAACAGGAGGTGTTACAGGAATTGCCTAATCAACTAGATACATGCCAGCGGAAGTAACACTTTGCTGCACGGCTCCGAGTTTTCTTTTGCAAGAGACTCAGCACCATCTTGTGGCCAACCGACATCTCAGTGATGTATTAATAAAACCCCATTTCTATGCAGGAGTCACAGCTCAGATGGCCGTTATTCTACAAGCCAGAATTCTCTGATATTAACAGTGAAAGGAAACTCCCACATTCTGCGTCCTTGGTCATCATGTCACAATACCCTAAGGCTACATCTGCATTGGCAAGATTTTGCGCAAATACTTTTAACGCAAGAGTTTTTGCATTAAAGTATTTGCGCAAGAGAGCGTCTACACTGGCATGTGCTTTTGCTCAAGAGATGTGCTTTTGCGCAAAAGCTTCCATGCCAGTGTAGATGTTCTCTTGCGCAAGAAAGCTCTGATGGCCATTTTAGCCATTGGGCTTTCTTGCGCAAGAAATTCATGTTGCCTGTCTACACTGGCCTCTTGCGCAAGAACAGGTGCGCAAGAGGGCTTTTTCCTGAGCGGGAGCATCATAGTTCTTGCGCAAGAAGCACTGATTTCACACATTAGAACGTCAGTGTTCTTGCACAAGAACTCCCCTCCAGTGTAGACAGGCAGCATGTTTTTGCACAAAATCAGGCACTTTTGCGCAAAATCATGCCAATGTAGACACAGCCTGAGGGTTAGATGGTGCTTGCTTGCCATATGTGACTCTCTCCCGTTGTTTGGGAGGGTCGTGTCAGTGGCAGGATGCAGCTTGTCACATTAACAAGTTTGTCGGTCGATTGCTACCCACGTACTGCTTCTCACTGTAACTTGGTCTGCAGCCCTGCACACGGGACTCCCATAAGGCCTACGGCAGCAGAGATGTCAGATATAGCAACATGGCTGTACCAGTATAGGGTGACCATCAATACTGTTTTTAACTGGACAGTCCCTTATGTGAACCCTCTTGCAGGTGTCCCATTTTTTTTGTTTTGTTTTTGAAAGAATTGGCAAATTGACCCATATTTTCTGCTCTGGCATTTCTCCAGCTGGTCAGTCACAGTCAGTGCAGCTGCAGCAGCCTCCTGGCAGGTGAATGCGGGCAGGCAGTGTAAGGAGCCTGTGTGTGATAGAGCAGTAAGGGGGTGTGTGTCACCCCTCCCCAGGTGCACCCTAAAGCACAGGGGGCTGCCAGACCTTTCAGGCCAGGGGTCTGAAGCCCTGATTCCTGGCACCTGCCGCAGGGCTGAAATCTCAATCCTGGGTGCCCCCTTCCCCTACTGAGTTCCTAACACTGCCCAAGCTGAAGTCCTGATCTGTGGTGCACTCCTCCTTTAAGGGCTGAAGCCCAAAATCCTAACAACCCCTGTGGGGCTGAAAGCAGGAGTCACTGAAACTGGGAGCAGCAGGGTGACTCCTGGATTCTTGGTGCTCCCCATGCAACAGATGGCCCCGAGCCCATGCACAGAGCTGAGGAGGGGATGTTGCCTCCCCCCCCCAATTTCAGTAGAGGTTCTGGGCAGTCCCAGGGACAGACCCACTCCTTTTATCTCCCTGCCCACTGGCCAGTTTGGAGTTGGGAAGCCAGAGCTGGGCAGTGTGGGGCAGCTGCTTCTCTGGCAGGTGATACACAGGAGTGGCAAGAAGGGGCATGCACCCCCCAAACACCATGGGCAGGAGGATCAAGGGGCCAGCCAGCAAGCCCAGAGTCTCTGGGCATTTGGGGGGGACTAACTGGGAGCCCTGGCACCAGTAGCAGCATCCATCCCTGCCCCCACACTCACTGGCTGTGGTAGGGGAAGTGGAGCAACACAGCCCCAGCTTGCTCTGCTCTCCTGGCACAGTGCTTGGGGGAGGGGCTGGACCATCCCACTCACCATTGGGACGCAGAGTAACATGTCTGAGCGAGTAGATCAAGCTGGGGCTACCACTGCTGGTGGGGGGGGGGCAATCCCCCTGCTGCTGGCACCGCCCCCTTTGCTCCAGTAGTCCCCCGGGGAAAGTGGTGGGACAGGGGCAGAGCAAGGGTGGGGAAGAGATGGAGCTTGGGGTAAAGGGGGGTTGTCCCAGACATTCCCCAGGTTTGGGGCGGTCATGTGGACCCTGGCCTCTCGTGTCACCCCTCACCTGTCAACCCTGACTACACCTTAGCCTGAGGGCACCCCCTTAGCTCTCTTTCTCCCACTTTTTACAGCTGGGGGGGAGATACATTTTGGTGAGGGGCAATACCACATTGTTCTGATTGATTGTCATCGAACTCCTTTGCATTCGAGCAACTTCCCCTGGTGACCCATATTCACCATAGGGAAATATAGTCACCCCCTACTAGAAGCTGTCTTAGAATTCATCCGCTGTAGTTTCATAGAGCACCTTTCATCTAAGGTGAGCTTTATAGTCAGTAATGATACAGGTAAGTATGATAGTCCCCAACTGTTGGCTGGAAAGCCTGAGGTAGACAGAGATTATAGGCCAGATTGTAGCTACCATTGAGCGGAACAGGTAGCTTTCTTCCCTCTGTGCTCTGGGCCACTCAGCAGCTTTGGTAATCCTTAGGCTTGTGCCCTTGGAGTGCCAGTTGCAGGGAGTATTTAGCAACTTTGTTGGTGCTACACCACCAGCTGGAGTGGGGACTGGGTGGGATGTGTGGCTAGAGCCAAGTTCCTGCAAAACCAGTGGTTGTGCAAGAAGAATGCTGGCTGGCCCTCCACAAAAAGATGAGAAGCAGTCATGAGCCTGCACTTCCCAGAGAAATTCAGGCTGCCTGGTCTTCCGTGGGCAGAAAGCTCTGACAATTGCTCTCTACACAGTGTATTGATGAGTCTTCTCACCTGCACATGCAGCATTGTAGTCTCTAAACCAACACTGAAATGCTGGGTGACTTCCCTGGAACCATACATAACATCTGCAATGGAGCCAGGAATCAAACCTAAACCTCATGTTACCACCACAGCCCCCAAATCAGCCTTCTCCGTCCGAATTTCAAACCCACTCCCCCGACACACAGACTCCCTGTAGTTTGCCAGGGACCAGATTTGTCATTGTAAAGCCCAGCATCTTACTTACTAAGGCTGTTGGTGTGGGCTATAATGGGTATATTTATAGAAAGGCCTTAGTTTATGTTTTCATTTATGGGACAGGATCATGGCACTGGGTGAGATCAACAGATGCATTTCTTAAATATGAATCAATAACTGAATGGAATGAAAATGCATTTTCAGAGCTTGTCCAAGACCTTCATCAAAATTATTTATCTGGCCCACTTAGATGTCCTCTGAGAGACATCTTCATAGTGAGAACTGATGGGCAGTCTTCTGACCTAAATACTTTTTCAAAGGAAAATGCAGATTTGTAGCAACCAAAATGGTTTGCAGGAAAGAGTCAGTTTCAACACAGCTCTCAAGTCCAACTATTTGTGTGGGAAAGTTTTGAAATTCAGTTAATTTAGACTTTCAAAAGTTTTTTTAAGAGATCAAAAGGTTTCAGCATGATCAAAACCAAACGTTTTCATTTACCCAATGGGAATGTTGTTTCAGTTTATTGGTCCACGGGGAATTTTTGAGGTTGCAACTTTTCATCTCACTGCAGGATGGGAAAAGAACTGAAATCTCAAACTCTCCTGGGATGAAAAAGCCATCTCCCGCCATTTGTATTCATGACACCCAGCCAACCAGCCATGCATAGTATTGAAGTCAGCTTCCTCTTCAATAACAGTGCCAAAGGCTACTACTTACTGTCAGTCATTAGTCTGATGACTTAGAAAAGTGTGTCTCATTTAATGATGCCTCTTAAAATGTCTGTCAGTCCCCGTATGAGAAATGCTGTATATTATTGCTCTCCACTGTCTTTATTTCAGACCACCATGCTGGAACAAGCTATTAAGAGCACTCAAGAGAGTTATGATGATGAGGTTCAGCTCTACAACGAACAGATTGAAACCCTTAGGAAGGAGATAGAGGATGCCGAAAGGACCTTGGAGAAGTACACGAATGACTGCCACCAACTGGTGATATATCAGCAGTCCTTGGAGAATGAGCTGGAGCGGTACAAACGTATCATTGAGAATGAAGACAACCGGTAGGTCGTCTTTCTGTGTGGTGGGTAGGGTGGACAATGTTCTAATTTGTGAAAACCAGACACTGAGTGAAGGAACCTCCCACCACCGCTTCTCCTCTTCCCCCCAGGGTCCTTACCTGGATCCACCTCTTTCTCTCAAGCCTCACCCCCCTCCTGCTCCTCTCTCTCCTGCCACCGAGACTTGTTGCTCTCTCTATCACCATCCCCCTCCCAGCTGAACAGGTTTTATGGGTGGAGGGGTGACTAGGGCAGGATGAGGAAGGAAGAGCCTCACTCTAGGAGGCTGGGGTTGATTGGGCAAGGTGGGGAAGAGAGATACAAACCTTGGGATGGAGGTGTAAGAGGGGAAGGAAGAGCCTCACTCTAAGGGTGGGACAGTTGACTGGGGCAGGGCAGGGAGAGCTACACTCTGGGAAGGGGGCCAGGGATGGAAGAGTGAGTGGGGCAGGGCAGGCAGGGGAAGGAAAGCTTCAGTCCAGGAGGTGGTGGGGTGGGTGAATGTGGCAGGATGGAGGAGCCTCCAGTACCTCTCTCTACTGGAACAGTTGCTGAGTGCTCTACTGTTCCTCCAGACTCCTACAGCAGCTGCTGCTCTTTCCACTCCCTAGTGCAGAAGCTGGTTAATGCAGGTAACTGGACTTTTAGGGCATGCCTACACAGCAGGGCAAATGTCGAATTGAGCTACGCAACTTCAGCTACGTCAATTGCGTAGCTGAAGTCAAAATAGCTTAACTCGGCTTTTGGCGCTGTCTACACAGCAGGAAGTCGAAGGAAGAACATTCTTCCCTTACACCTCATAAGTGAGGGTTACAGGAGTCAGAATTAGAAGTCCTCCAGCTCCACATTATTTCAAAATAATGGCTTGCTGTGTAAGTGTGCATTTTATTTCAAAATAGTGTCATTTATTCCGAAATAACGCTTCAGTGTAGATATACCCTTAGGCTACGTCTACACTGGCATGATTTTCCGAAAATGCTTTTAACAGAAAAGTTTTCCGTTAAAAGCATTTTCAGAACAGAGCATCTAGATTGGCACGGACGCTTTTCCGCAAAAGCACTTTTTGCGGAAAAGCGTCCGTGGCCAATCTAGACGCGGTTTTCCGCAAAAAAGCCCCGGTCGCCATTTTCGTGATCGGGGCTTTTTTGCGGAAAACAGTACTGTGCTGTTTACACTGGCCCTCTTGCGCAAATGATTTGCACAAGAGGGCTTTTGCCCGAACAGGAGCAGCACAGTATTTCCGCAAGAACACTGACGATCTTACATGAGATCATCAGTGTTCTTGCGGAAATTCAAATGGCCAGTGTAGACAGCTGGCAAGTTTTTCCGCAAAATCACCTGATTTTGCGGAAAAACTTGCCAGTCTAGACACAGCCTTAGTGTCCTGTCTGCAGTGCTGACCAGATACTGCCAGGTTCCCTTTATGACTAGATATTCTGATCAAAACCCAGAAATCTTGCCATCTCTAATGGTGTTTCCCAGGGGATTGTGCAGGTGCCTAGTATTTGAAAATGGGGATTTGTTTAAGCCAACTAAAGCCTACGTGAACTCCTACTGGGTTCTCAAAGCAGTAACCTGAGTTCAGTCATCCTCATTCAAAGTCCACTGAAACCAATGGGGAGAGGGAGCTCGTGGCCAGTGCGAAGAGAGTATGAAGTTCTCATTCAGCCTTTGAGTCTAATCACCATTTGGCTGTCCTCTTTTTGTTTCTGTACACAAATGCCAAGTGTAAATTATAAAGCATTTCTATGATTCTGTGACTGGCTGCCTCTGCAGAGCTGTAATAGCCACTTTTACATACTGGGGGCTACCTATTTAAAAATCTGCTGGAAGTTTGGGGCTAGATCCTGAGAAGAGAATCACCATTGTAGAGCTTAACTTTTAGGTGTCCTGCTGCCTAATGGAAACACAACCTGAGTCAGGTTCCTAGGTTTCCTATGCTCCCTGGGAATGATGATATGCTTCTGAATGCATTTTGCAAAATCCATGAGGGATAACTCAGTGGCTTGAGCATTAGCCTGCTAAACCCACGGTTGTGAGTTCAATTCTTAAGCAGGCCAGTCATTTAGGGATCTAGGCAAATCTGTCAGGGATGGTACCTGGTCCTGCTGTGAGGGCAGGGGAGTGGACATGATGACCTCTCAGGGTCCCTTCTTGTAGGTATATCTCCATATATTATTATTATATATCTACAATCCAATGGGATATTAATGTTCAACTAAACAGGATGTTTTAAATGATAGTTCACAGGGCATGCGTTGGACAAAACATCATAATCACATTATCATAGTGAATACGGGAGAGCTGGTATGCTAATCTGAGGTTCAACATGCCACACCTCCCTGCTAGACTCCAACCTCACCTGTGCGCACGCTCATTGGCCCAGTGCCCATTGAATTTTATCCCACATCTAGTAATTAGGATGCTCACTAAAGAGATAAGAAACTCAGCTTCACATCCAGATGAGAGGGGAATTGAATTTGGACTTTTTCCTATCCCACATGAGCACCTTAACCACTATACTACGGTGTTGGAGGGGGGGGGGCAATCTAGAGCCAATGCCCCATTCCCTTCCCCCACCGCACAGCCATTTGGTATGGGTTAGATGTGCTCTGAGCATGCCTACCAGAACAGGGCTTTCAGGTTTGCTACATGGAACAACACCCAGTTGGAAGATCTTGCTGGGGCATAGGTATGAGATAGCGGCATAAATGCAGGCACTTGGGAGTTGTAGAGATTTCAATGCCCAGGGATGCTAGACACCTCCAGGATCAGATGGCAGCTAAGCAGATCTCATTGGTGTCTAAATGTAGGACTTAGGTGCCTAAGTCCATTTTTGGAACTAGCACTTGGCTCTAGCCACAGGCAAAGTATTTTTTTCCACTGAAGGTTCCTGTAACATCCCCCAGAGTGCAGTAGCCTGTGCCCATTCAGGCTGTTGCCTACACTGCTATATTAGTGAACAGCAAAGCCCTCCAGGCACCATTCACTCAGCCTTCAGACGCACACTCAGCAGAGTACTCGAATGTTCTCTCCAGCCACTTATGAACTGGATACAGGCAGACACCAGCAAATCCCAACCAGCCTCAGCCTCACACCCCAGAAATGTGCATCTTACATTGTTCAAGGCCCAAGTGCATTACTTTGCCATTCTGTCAAAGGGTCGTGGATAGTCACCAGCCTTTGTAACCTGACCACTCCAGCTAAAAACACACTGGGTGAGATTAAACACGAGACAGATTTATTAACGACACAAAGAGAGAAGTTAAGTGATTTATAAACAGTCTAGGCATAGGAGTTCAGAATTATAAAAAAGAAATGAGATACAATTGCTATCTAATTCCTAAACTTTATCAAGCTAAGTCCAGTTTGAAGTAACAAGTTTTCTCTTACCATAAAACCTATAGCAGTCTGTGATAACAGGAAAGCTTTTCCCGTTAGGACCCCTACCTTTGTTCAAATGGTTCTTTTTCTTCCAACTGATCTTGTTGCCATCAGTGTAAGTTCAGGAAGAAAGGTGGGCTGGTTATGCCTCAGTCCCTGTTTTAGTGTCTCCTCGGGGTACTAGAAAGAGCCTTGCTCTGTCATGAGGGCTAGGCAGTCCCAAAGTGTTATATGCTTGCACAACTGACTTCATATGCCTTGTAGATCTCTTGTTTACAACTTCCCCTGCTGGTAGATGGCCAGTGATGGTTGCTTTTCTCCCCTTACTTCATATGCCTTTGAGCTCCCACTGGTTCATTCAGAGCTGCAGATGATGTGCAAGTCAATACAATGCCTGGCTGGGAACACCAGAGGGAGCTTGTGTGAAGAAAAAATGGGGAAAGACAAAAAGGTCAGATAGCAAGCGCTGTTGTGCTGAGTTAAGTCAGATAAAATCTCTAGTTTAATTTTATTGGCCACTTTCTTATTTGCAATGATCTGCATATGGTTTGAGACTGACAATTTCCCTCTGCATTATGAAATCATTCCCTGACACAATTAGGGCTGCTTTTTAAAACTATATGCTCTGTCCTACATTCTGTATGGAAATATGGTGGGCCAGATACTCCCTTGGTGTAAATCAGCCTTTGAAGACAGTGGAAGCATCGCTAAATTACACCAACAGGCCAATAGTACACAGCCTATGCGCTATATTGATTGAAATGGCATTTTAATATGAGGCATTTTAATTGTCCTACTTGTTCAAGGTATACTGGGGGAAATTGAACTCATGCAAGTTCTCTCTACCAGGTTAAATTCTGCCATAATCGGAACCCCAGTTGCACTCTTCACACAGAGCTACAGACCCTTCCAAACTACAACCTGGAGACGGCGAGGTAATTTCTGATATGTTTTTTCTATTTCAGCAAATACAAGCACATTTAGAACATTTGAATTTTAAACCATTTTCATTAGTCTTCAGCATGGGCCCCATTACTGGGGCCTAAATCAAAATCTATTGAAGACAATGGGAGACTTTCAGTTTACATTTGTAGGCTTTGACTCAGGCCCATAAAGGTTGGTTCCTTTGCTAGACTGATGGCATGACTTTCTACAATAGAAGTCGCTTGAATCGAATAAATGAGATGCACAGAGAACTAAGGCCAGGTATACACCAAAAAGGGGAGGGGGGGGTCAAATCAAGATACGCAACTCCAGCTATGTTAATTATATAGCTGGAGTCGACACACCTAGATTTGAGTTTTCCCACCATCCCCACAGTAGGAGGCCGACGGGGGCAAACATTCCTCTCAATTTCCTTTACTCTTTGCGGAAGCAGGAGTATCGGCTGGTGACAGGAAAGCCCTCTGAGTTCGATTTAGCGAGTCTTAACTAGACCTGCTAAATCAAACTCTGGAAGATTGTTCACAGCAGCATCAATATTATGTTTAGTGAAGCTATGGCCTAAAAGACCAGGCAGTCTAAAATAACCTTGCAAAGTGGTCGCAGAGGCTACGTCTACACTGGCCCCTTTTCCGGAAGGGGCATGTTAATTTCAGCTATCGCAATAGGGAAATCCGCGGGGGATTTAAATATCCCCCGCGGCATTTAAATAAAAATGTCCGCCGCTTTTTTCCGGCTTTTAGAAAAGCCGGAAAAGAGCGTCTACACTGGCCCCGATCCTCCGGAAAAAGCGCCCTTTTCCGGAGGATCTTATTCCTACTTTGCAAGGTTTTGAAGTAAGAATAAGATCCTCCGGAAAAGGGCGCTTTTTCCGGAGGATCGGGGCCAGTGTAGACGCTCTTTTCCGGCTTTTCTAAAAGCCGGAAAAAAGCGGCGGACATTTTTATTTAAATGCCGCGGGGGATATTTAAATCCCCCGCGGATTTCCCTATTGCGATAGCTGAAATTAACATGCCCCTTCCGGAAAAGGGGCCAGTGTAGACGTAGCCAGAGGGTTTAGGTTATATACCAAGTCTGAACAGCCTTCTGTCATCACAAAACAAAACAGGAACACTTGGGTAGCTCTGCAAATAGGAAGAGGTTATTTAGTCTTGTTTATCTGCCATGACGCAGTTTGTGCTGAATAGAGTCACATTCAGAATTGTATGATTGCTCTCCGGAACTGTATGATTAATATATTTAGAGTTATGGTGTTCGTAAGAGTAGGAAGGCAAATTGAAGGCAAACGTCCAGGGCAAAAATAGAAAGAAGTTTGTAAACAATGAGGATGGATAGTTTGATAGCTAGATACTTTACATGCCAAGTTAAAAGATATCTCAGAAGAATAGATGGTTAATTGGATGTTTCATTTAAAACAAGGCAAGTTAAAAATGAAGATAAACTGATATGTATTCAAATTTGTATAGACTAAATGGGGTGTTTTCCCTAGCGTTTTTCCCAATAAAGTAGGCTTAAATTGTTTGTTAGTGAATAAATTAGCTACTAATACATGAAGACTAGATCCTTAAGTGGTGTGCACATATGTATCTATGTGGACGTCAATGAAGCTTTGCTCAATACAGCTGGCTATTCCATCTAACTATACTTCTGATCATTATCTACAGATAGATTGTAATATGCTTAGGGGAAAAAACTATCTTCATTATATTGAACAAGGAGAAGCTGCCTGATGTACTTCTGTCCACATACTTCTGAATTACTGTAACCGGGTGTGCTCACCGCCATAGGTGCCTCCTGCTGGTCGCTTGGAAATTAGCTCATTCAGCTGGAGTGCCCCTTTCAGCTGGGCTGTGTCTAGACTGGCAAGTTTTTCCGCAAAATCATCTGCTTTTGCGGAAAAATTGCCAGCTGTCTACACTGGCCGCTTGAATTTCCGCAAAAGCACTGACGATCTCATGTAAGATTGTCAGTGCTTTTGCAGAAATACTATGCTGCTCCCATTCGGGCAAAAGTCTTTTTCTGAAAAACTTTAGCACAAAAGGGCCAGTGTGGACAACAGAGATTTGTTTTCCGCAAAAAAGCCCCGATCGCAAAAATGGCAATTGGGGCTTTTTTGCGGAAAAGTGTGTCTAGATTGGCCATGGACGCTTTTTTGCAAAAAGTGCTTTAAGTCATATTAAATTCAGGTCTTTTAATCATACAATATGAATAACAACATTTCATTCTCCCAGCTCCAAGTCTTAAGTGAATTCACCCACAGTTACCTTTTTCCCCTCCATGTACCCCCACAATCTGGGGTCATCCCCCTTTGGGGAAAGGGAATGTTTTTGAACAGGCAGGTATATTTCCCCATCACATTTGGGAGGCATTTCTGTAGCCGGAAAGCCTAGGAATCCTGTGAAGCAGCCACAAGAGCTACTTCCATGTTGATATGGCTCCAAAGGGCTTAATCCTGCTACTGATCCAAGATAGTGGTGTTGCACACGATATGGAAGAGCAGCAGCAAGATCTAAATGCACCTTCAGATTGCTGGTATAGTCTTCATAATTTAAAGATACTGATTTTGTGCATCCAGTTTTGTGCACATTCAAAAGTTAATCAGTACATGTTTCAGATATGAAAGGGGTATTTGTACTGACTCATAATATCCATTTTCATAAATAAAATGAGTATTTGCCCACCTTTTTAGTTCCATTCTGCTCTGCACAGACTGCACTGATAATGAGCCTCTTTGTTTGCAGATGGACTGCTAAGCTGTTTTGGGCAACTCCTTTCAATGCTGTTTGCTGTTGCCTTTGTTTTGATTTTCTTTAGATATCACACTGGTTATGCAAGAGATTGCAACTGCAAAACCAAGACAAAAAGGTCTGGCAAAGAAAATTTCTCTGAGAAAGGAGATCACTTCGAAAGACATAGCAGATGGGTTTTCACCCGAAAATATGTATGAAAGAACTCTGGAAGGCTTTGATCAGGATCAGCTACAATTTAAACACGAAAGCACAGTAATACGTGAACCTCAGCAGGCAGGATTAGAATTAGTTGAGCAAGAAACAGTCCCAGAGGATGTGCCTGATGGAGCTCAGATAAGTAAAGCTTTTGATGAATTGTGTAACACGGTGAGAGAGAGAATGAGATGCTACACGAGACCCGAGCCTAAGACTGACTTGTCTGCCAAAGGGCGCTATGTACTTGTCACTGGGGAAGCAAGTTATGACCACCCTTGCTTCTATTCTTCCTCCATCCCAGCTGGAGGTGGGATCATTGTTTCCACAAGCAATGGAAAGCTACCCAACGGCGGGGAAGTGGAGCCAATTCCAGAACTGCCAGAACCCTCTGAACCATCACCAAATGAGGAAGAAGTCCATAAAATGCAGCCTGAGATTGAAGAGGGAGAAGAACAGGGCAGAAAGTCAGAAGAAAAAGCTGAAGAGCTCGCAGAGCAGCCACACATCTCTGGCCCTGCGGCAGTACCTCCAGCTGATGTAGGCAGCCCTTCTGAGCCAGACGTATTTAAAAAGGCAGAGTATGACAGAGAAGACCAACGAGAAGGCCCGACATTCATAGAACCAAGCTTACCCAGTTCCATGAGCTATGAGAAAGTGGAACTGGTGGAATCCATTGAGAAATTTTCAGATGACAGAATTCAGACTTACGAAGAGACAGCTCTGATTGTGGAGACAACAATTGAGAAGACAAGCAAGAAGAAGCTAGGAGACAAAGGCTCTTAAGTTACATCATTTGATAAGCAACTTGTCTGGCACACTTATTAAATGATGTAATTATTTTCCCCCTTGCCCAGTGCTAACATAGTGAAACTTTTGCTGTTTGATATAAAACATTGATACAGAAATGGCCATTCTGTCTGGGTGTAGGTTCACCTTTAATGTAATAATCACTAAAATTTCCTTGGGCAACTAGCAGCAGGTTCATTTATGCAACACTTCTTGTAGAAAGTAATTACTAAAACATATCCCTGTCTAAGCCACACCAAAGTAATATGTGACCACTACAAATTGACCCCTCCTCGTATATATTCCTCTAATGATGCTTTAGTTGCCATTAGTTTCCAATTTCTCAGACAGCTGCAGTATATATTCCTCTAACGATGCATTAGTTTCCAATTTCTCAGACAGCTGCAAATGTTAGCTTGTGACATCTGGTTCATTGAATAAAAGCTTTGCATCCTAAAAATCAGTCACAGTGGGTGTGTGTTACTGTTAACATTAAACAGCAGCATTAGCAATGCTATGATTAACTGATTAACAAACTGATTGACATGTTGCTGTCAAGGTCAAAGACAAAGCATTTTAGTTTCAGTAACATTTTACAACTAGCCTTTGTTTGTACATATGATAGAAGAACATAGTTGTCAAGGTCAAAGACAAAGCACTTTAGTTTTACAACTAGCCTTTGTTTGTACATATGATAGCAGAACATAGCAGTCATTTATTTTTAAGTATGTTGCCAAAAGAAAATTTGGCTGAATTTGTCATTAATAACTTACTACATATTATCCAGGCTGCTCATAATAAAATATGTAGTGATATCAAAAGAAACAAAAAAGGACAACTTTAAAAAAGAATGTATTAAAAGTCTTAATTCAGCCTTTGCACACACAAACTTCCCATTGACTTCAAGGGGAGCAGGATTTCACCCCTTTGCGCACACACAAATTTCCCATTGACTTCAAGGGGAGCAGGATTTCACTAGAGTATTCATTTGATTGTGTTTATAGTTAAGCAACTTGCATCTGATTTTTATGCCTAAACGTCTGCTGTTGTCCGGGGTTTTTTTATAGCTTCCATGAACGCTATTTAAAATTATGCCCATGGCAAAAATCCTATATTACTGAAGTACAGTGCACACTGGGATCTCTTCAGAGGCTTGCAGACACTTCAAAGATTGTTGGTTTGGGACACTATCTGTGCAAATTTAATTTTTTTCCCTTAAAATTAATTGCATTTTAGTGATCCAGAGTTTGAAACGTTCTATGTGAGTCTGCAAAATCTTACTTATGTGAGCAGTCTCATTAAACTCAATGGGCTTGCTCAAGCACATAGGGAGTGAAGAATTGTGGGACTGTATCTTGTTTTTGACACACAAGAGCAAATATGGTTATTACTATTACACAGCTTGTCAACAATTGATTTGTCTGTCCTGGGGGAAATGCTGATGTTTTCTCGTCCCCCCACCCCTTGAATTGGACAGATAAGCCAAAATATGGAAATTTTTCACACCAGGGAACAGGCCACATGTTTTTATTCTGAAATGTCAAAACACTATTTCAGTTCAGTTGGATGTTCGCCTACATCTGCTTGAGCTGCCTCATTTGAGGGGTAGCTTGAGTGTCTCACGTCTCCCATTCTCCTCTATGGGCCTGGTTGGACTATAGTCTTTGGACTCCCGTGATGCACAGCAAGAATTCAGACAGAAGTGAGACCATTGTACATCATGGGAAATGTAGTCCCTATATTTGCCATAAAAACTGATGACAGCATGATGCTCTTGATGAATTTTTTTTTCCATGGTGAACTTTTGATCTGTAGAAAACATTCATTTCCATAAAAAATTAATAGAAAATTCCCAACCAACTCAAATAATTACCCAGAACTACAAATGTAACATGAAATGTAAATGCTGCTTCCATATGTGTATTGCTTTCCTAGTATTTTTTTTTCACATCTACATTAGCCAAATCCTGTTACATTTATTCATGTGAGACTCCCCAGCAATTTCAGTGTCTATAACCATAAAAATGTGTGCCTAAGTTGGGTATTATTTAAGGCTGTGGTTTAGCAGAGGATTTAAGCATGTTCTTAAGTTTAAGCATGTGAGTAGTCCTATGGAAGTTTAGGTTTGGGGCCTAGACTTGTGAAGGCCCTAAGTCAGACAAAACATGTATTGAAAGGACTGAATTAAACCAGTGTATGTTCTTCAGCATTTATAAGGCCTTTGGGCTCTAAAGTTCACAAGAATCTACTTCAGCCTATCAGAATGTTCTGTATTTCCTAGGGCTTGATTCTATGTTCCTTGCAAGCAGTAATAAAACACATAGGCTACGTCTACATCGGCATGATCTTGTGCAAATACTCTTTAACACAAGAGTTCTTGCATTAAAGTATTTGTGCAAGAGAGCATCTACACTGGCATGTGCCTTTGCGCAAGAGATGTGCTTTTGCGCAAGAGCATCCGTGCCAGTGTAGACGCTCGCTTGTGCAAGAAAGCTTCAATGGCCATTTTAGCCATCGGGCTTTCTTGCGCAAGAAATTCACGTTGCCTGTCTACACTGGCCTCTTGTGCAAGAACAGTTGTGCAAAGGGGCTTATTCCTGAGCGGGAGCATCATAGTTCTTGCGCAAGAAGCACTGATTTAAAACATTAGAAAGTCAGTGTTCTTGCGCAAGAACTCTCCGCCAGTGTAGACAGGCAGCATGTTTTTGCGCAAAAGCGGACGCTTTTGAGCAAAATCATGCCAATGTAGACACAGCCATAGGCTTTGACTACACTGAAGGATTTTTGAGCAAGCAGCTTTTTGTGGAAGAGCTCTTCCGTAAAAACTTCTTGCTCAAAAGTGTGTCCACACCACAAAAGTACATTGCAAAAGTGATGTGCTTTTTGTGCAAGAGAGCATCCATACTTCATGGACACTCTTGCACAAGAAAGTTCTAATGGCCATAAGAGCACCTGTGCTTTTTGTGATAGGCTCTTTTTGTGCAAAAAACCCCTGTTGAACGTCCACACACACCTTGTGCAAAAAGGAGTTATTCCTTGTTGGGAGAGGAATAACTCTACTGGGAAAAGCTCTCTGTCCTGTCGATTTACTGTTCGGTTTTTTTTGCTCAAAAACGCACTTGAGGTGTGGATGTGCTGTGGGTTTTTGCACAAAAACCCTGTAGCATAGACATAGCCTGAGGGTATAGCGACACAGCAGGGGTAAACTCAAAATAAGCTATGCCACTTGAGCTCCGCTAATTGTGTAGCTTAAGTCAAAATAGCTTGTTTCACTTTTGGATGTGTCTACACAGCAGTTATTTCGAAATAGAGCATGCTTCCCCCAACTTCCCTTACTTCCCATACAATGAGGCTTACAGAAGTCGGAGTAAGAAGCCCATAAGTTCAAATTTATTTCAAAATAACTGGCTTGTTGTGTAGACACTCAGTACATTATAACATCAGTTACTCTGAAATAATGCTGCTGTGTAGACATAGCTCAGGGGACGCAAATCAAACTCGTCCCCTTAGTCTCTTCTGCCTACTATAGTCTCCAGGCCAAGAAGAACCATCAGTACACTTTTTCCTTGGGTGGGGCTTGATGATGCATTTTACTACCTAATCTACATTCAGTCTGTGCTTTTTATAAATTGGCATTTTTTTAAACAGTAAAGCTCACATTCATATCATGTGATGATACTGATAAATTAATTGAAGCCTGAACAGTTAAAAAAATATAGTTCTAGACTAAGCAGCCAAGAAGATGACTAATCACATTTTACGTAAATCAATCTTAGTGCAGCATAATTGCTTCTTTAGGCCATTACCAATGAGGACTGGTTTGTGGGTGTCAAGCCTGCATTCACAAATACTGCATTCATTTAAATAACTTTTTTGCTATTGTCTTATTGTAGTGCTATGGCAGTGTATGTTATACATGCCTTTTTCCAAAGCGAGTTGTTACTTATACCTTATTATAGACAAGGCTCTCTAAATTTATACAGGGAGCTGGATTCTAGTTACCGTATAAAAAAGAAGTGTGGCTGCCTGGATAAATGAGTCCAGCTGAGTACAATACGTGCTAATGAGACCATATTTTTGCCTCAATATGAGTGAAAAGCTACTGATTGCAGACGTCCAAGAAAAAAGCCCATCCCTCAAAATATGGCTGAAAGTGGCTTTAAATGGTGCACAAGGCTTTTGGTGTCACAGGGGTGACATTCACATGATGACTAAACTACATTTGGCTTTGTGGTCATTAAAAAAATCCCAAGTGAAATAAGTTCTATGTCCCATGTTGTCAGAAAGCAGCATGTGGTACTTATACTGAAAGTAATGCACTTTGGTGCTAGATAAAGAGTCAAGCCTGTGAGGTGCTGAGCTCCCTCAACTCCTGCTGGCATTAACGGAAGATGGATATTTGTTATTTCTTACAACGAGTCTGGAAGTGATATCAAAACATAGGAATTAAGCCAGTGTCTTTTATGAGGAGACCTGTGTTTTACTCTCTGGCGGTATGGCTACACTGCACGCTTATTTCAGCGTAAGCTGTTTCAAATGTCAAAATAGCTTATTTCAAAATACCACATCTACACAGCACATGCCAGTCGATATAGCACTGAGCTCTTTTTTTGGAAATTGAGTGTCCACACTCATTGACCACTGAATTGCATTTACGGCCACCCGGAAGCACTTCAGGAAGGACAGCAGGACAGCACTCTCATCCTGTAGCTGCTGCCTGAGGTGTGTTCTTAAAGGGATCCTCCCTCCCCCCCGGAAAGTTGTGTCTCAGGCACCTAGCTTTTGCCTACCTCCTTGAGGGACAGCAAACCTTTTCTCTGTGTGCTCTAATTGCTCTTGCAGACACCACAGCACTCCAGACATGGAACCGGGCCTGCCTTCGAGCAGTCGACGGCTCTTACGTCTCATGCTGCACCTCCTGCTGCAGTTTCTGCAGGCTGCCCTCATGGCTCTGCAGTAACAGGACCCCCAGCTCATCGGGGAGGGCACCTCCTCTCCTGTCTCCACATGTTGCTCATGCAGCACGATCCCTCCCCTGCACACCATGCACCGCCGTGTCTAGCGCCTGGACACCAGTTCCGACTGGTGGGGCTGGATCACCATGGAGTGGTGGGCCGACCAGCAGTGGCACCAGAATTTCTGCATGTGGAAGTATGCAAGTGATTCGCCCCTATCCTCACGTGATAGGACACCTACCTGTGACCCACCATCCCCCTCCAAAAGTGGGTTGCTGTCACCTTCTGGAAGCGCACTAGGCCGGACAGCTACTGATCCGTGGGAACCAGTTCAGCATGGGGAGAGCGACTGTTGGGGCCGTGCTCATGCAGGTATGACACTCTTGTGCTATTGTCCCAGAAGGGTGGGGGATTACTGGAATGGGGTTCCCTAGGGAAGTGCAGGGGAGTGGTGGACGCGCCCTCCCCTGGAAGGTTTTTCAGTCCCACTCTCACAAAGCCTGTTAGGGGATTGGGTCAAGCTGGGGGTTGTTCCTGGTGTTGAGCTCTAGGCTCTCCCAAGGGCCCTGGCAACCCTGTGATTCTCTGTGTGTCTCCTTCTACAGGTGGTGCAGGCCATCAACACCATCTTGCAACACCATCAATACCATCAGGGTCGGGGATGTGGACATGGCAATCTGTATTGTAAGGACTGCTCCATGGACTTCTGAAGCCCTACACTAGACTCCATCAAGGAATGTTTTAACACAAGGCTTAGCAAAGCCCATAGGTGGAGGGCACCTTCAGCCATCTGAAAGGGAGGTTCCATTGTCTCCTTACCTTCCTGGACCTCGTCGAGCAGAACATCCCCCAAGTGGTGGTGGCCTGTTGTGTCCTGCACAATATTTGTGAAAACAAGGGGGAGACATTCCTGCCAGGTAGGGGGGAGGTGGGGCAGAGGCCGATAGGCTTGGCAGGGCTTTGAGAAGCTGCACGTAGCTGCTATCCAGCACACCCATCGGGGGCTGTGCAAATCCGAGAGGCCCTGAGGGAGAGTTTCACACAAGGATCCCAGTGACACATCCATGGGCCTCCCCTACAAGAAGCCTGTACATTGCTTCTCTTAGCCTTTCCTCCCACACTCCTCCCTTCCCCCTCCTCCTACCCCTTTCTCTTGCCTCCCCTGCAAAAATATTAAACCACACTTTTTGTTTTTGAACAATAAACTCAATTTTTCATTTGTGGGGTATCTCCTCTCCGAGCCCTGGGCGACATCCTGGGAGGGTGATGCCGGCTCCAAGGCCAGGATAACCTCCTGGCTGGCGAGAATCATGTCCACACTAACCTTGTCGTCCTCCTCCTGTATTTCCTCCTCCTAGCCCCGACCACACCTGGGTGGCTGATGATGGACGTCTCCACGAAAAGGGGGGGACTGGGACTGACCTCCCCTCCAAGGATGTGGTGGAGATGCTTGTACTAGGGGTTGGTCCGGGGTGCCATGCCGAGCGGGAACTGTGCTCCCTGGCCTGTGTGTAGCCCTGCCTCAGTTCTTTGACTTTCATGTGCACCTGCTCCTGGGTGCACTTGTGGCCCAGGCTTCCGGCCATCCACATTCCTGTGTCTGGTGCCGAGTTCCTGCAGGTTTGCTTCACCCCAGATCTCAACGAGATTCAGGAACTCCGCAGCAGACCAGAATGGTGCCCTTCTCTTTCAGCCACAAGCAGGGGTGTGAGGACTGCCTGGGGCAGTGCTGGCAGCTGTGTGTGGGGGGGGGGGAGAGGAATGTGGGGGGGCTCAGCTGGAGCAGTGGGCTCAGCCATGGCAGCAGGGTCCTGCCATACTGCACGATGTGAGCAGAGCCTGCTTCGTGCCACAAGCCCTTTCCCTTCTGCCTGCAGCTTTAAGAGCTGCATGGAAAGAAGAACTACAGAGTTCTGATCTGTGTAGACAGAATGGTCACCAGGACAGTTGTGAGATTTCCTGGAGGCCTCTTCTTTTGAAATAACTTCAGCTGCCTCATCTACGCATGCCCTATTTTGGAATAGGCGTTATTCCTCATAAAATGAGGGTTATGGAATTCAAATTAAGAAGCTCATTATTTTGAAATAACACTGCTGTGTAGACGTACCCCAAGGCTGCGTCTCGACTGGCAAGTTTTTCTGTAAAAGCGGCCGCTTTTGTGCAAAAACGTGCCAGCTGTCTACACTGGCTGCTTGATTTTGCACAAAAGCACTGACATTCTACTGTCCGAAATCAGTGCTTCTTGCGCAAATGCTTTGACGTTCTCTTTCGGGCAAAAGCCCTTTTCCAGAAATGTTTTTGCGCAAGAGGTCCAGTGTAGACAGCTGAAAACTGTTTTGCACAAAAAAGCCCCAATGGCAAAAATGGTGATCGGGACTTTCTTGCGCAAAACTGCGTCTAGATTGGCCCGGACGCTTTTCCACAAAAAGTGCTTTTGCGGAAAAGTGTCCGTGCCAATCTAGATGCTCTAGATACCAATCATGCCAGTCTAGACATAGCCCAAATGTATTATCTTTACCCTGACTTCCACAACAATGGAAATTGAGTAAATAGATTTTCTGGGATCATTTTCTGAGATCATTCAGTCATATTGGGCGACTACATACCTAGGTTTCTAACAACACCCGTGTCCTGTTTCATAGGAATAAAAGGGGAAACCAGGCAAACCCCCAGAAAAGACAAACATTTCTTATGCTTCAGAGTTTGGAACAGCTGCTATATGAGGAAAGATTAAAAAGACTTTTCAGCTTAGAAAAGAGGTGACTGAAGGGCGAATATGATAGAGGCCTTTAAAATCATCACTGGTGAGGAGAAAATAAATAAGGAAAAGTTATTTACTGGTCCCATAACACAAGAGCTAGGAGGTCACCAAGTAAAATTAATAGCAAGTTTAAAACAAATGAAGAATTTTTTCATGCAACGGCACAGTCAACCTGTGGAACTCCTTGCCAGAGGCTGTTTTGAAGACTAGGACTTTAACGGGGTTCAAAAAAGAACTGATAAATTCATAGAGAATAAGTCCATCAATGGCTATGAGGCAGGCTGGGTAGGACTGATGTCTCTAGCCTCTATTTGTCAGAAGCTGGGAATGGGTGACGGGAGCTGGATCACTTGATGATTACCTGTTCTGTTCATTGCCTCTCGGGCACCGGGCATTGGCCACTGTCAGAGGACAGGATACTGAGCTAGATGGACTTCTGGGACTCAGTTTGGCCATTCTTATGGATCAAAATGTGTATCTGAGGGATTTTTTTTTAATGTTGAAGTGTTTTTCAAACAAAACTCCCATTCCAGCCTCTGTTCTGGATTCTGAAAAGCTGAACATTGTGTCCACTTTCAATAAAGCTGCATCTAATGAAGGCTGATTGTTCACAGGAAAGCAGGTGCTTAACTTTAACCTTTTAATAACCCTTGACTTGAATGGGACTCAAGTGCATGCTTGCCTTTGATCATGTGCTTAAGTTCTTTCCCGAATTAGTGCCTCAATCCACAGTGGTCCATTGTATAATACTTCTAGCAGCTAAAACAGCTTTAGTTTTACAGCCTTTATGCTGGTAGCCTTTTCTTTGATGAAGATATTTATCTCTTATGTATCAAACATACCTGAGAGGTGATTTACCCTATCAGGCCTTTATGAAGTGGTTTCACTGAACACAAGTCACCTCCCCCATGACTTCTGATAGGCAATGATGATAGGACCTGCCAGTTTACAACATCTCTTTATTTTACTCAGATTATAAAACATCATCACAGGGCTTTATATATTTTAACAACATTCACCTGTTTTAAATCAAGAACTGTGATAGTTCCCCTCTGTTATAAATGCTAATAAATTAACTTTATTTTTGCATCAGCAATACCATAAAAACTTATTCTAATTGGACTTTTTTCTGTGCTTATCCTGATGCAAAAATTCTGAAGAGTCTGAAGTCTAGCTATATATATATATAGTATATACACGTGTTTTATATATACGTATATCAAAACTCATCATTTCTGTTAATCACCCCTTACAGTCATCTTGCACTTAATAAGTTAAATCAACATTATGAAAATATGACCACCCATTTAGTTATTTTGCTGCTATATAAGACATTTAATGTTCAAACAGAGATTGCAAAATTACATGGATGCAATAGGAATTAACGTACACTTCCATTTCAAATTGCCACATTTCTTAAGCCAAGAACTTTTCATGTATTTTAGAATTCTCTTCAATAAGTTTAAATGATTTGTTTCTTTAGTAAATACATACACATAAATATAGTGCATGAGTGTATATGTATTTATTATTTTCAATAATATATGTAATATATATTATGCATATTTGCATATATATATTACATACTCTATATATAGTCTATATATCACATTTGTTTGTGTGTTATCAAATGCATATGTAAACATAATAGGGGCAAATTCTTCCCTCAGATATACACGTGCAACTCCCATTAATTACTGGGAATCACAGGCCCAATTCACAACCCACTAAAGACAATGGGCATCTTCACAGTTCCAAAGACACCCACATTCTAGTTTAAACACTGGCTTATTGCCTACATGCATGTATCTGAGGCCATGCTGTTCTTTGGGTTATTTTAGGGGCACCAGATAAAATATATTTGATACTTTCCATCTATTTGAACAAATATACAAAAGCATGCTTTTAAAAGTCACTTTTATAGGTGGTTTTTTAAAACTAAAAGCCTGAGGGCCTGTTTCACCTCTCACTTACACCTAAATATAACTTATCTGTACTGGAGTAACTCCTTAGTTAGATCAGTGTAAGGGAAAGGAGAGCCTATGAATACTTACATGCTTAACTTGACTTATAATACAGGTTGAACTTCTCTAGTCCGGGGCGCTGTGGTCCAGCATTATTTTAGTTAGCCGGCTCTCCACTTATCATGGTCCCATGAATTTTGTTTACAGTCACCAGTCCTGGTTCTTGGTGTTCTGGGCTGTTATTTAGCTCTAATTTATTCCTAAATGTCATCTAAGAGCCCAGTTAGCAGTGGAAGTATTTGTAATGCTTCCAGACAATATTGACCTCTCATGGTCCAGCAAATTTTCTGGCTCAGCAGCAGGTCAGGTCCTAAAGGTACCAGACTAGAGAGGTTCAGCACATAATTTAAAGATAGTTTAAGCAGATAATTTGGCATTTGAAAGGAAAAGAAAAAATCCTGTTATAGAAAGTTAAAAGACAAATATTAACTTGAAATAATAGACTAAATATACATTCTGGGGGGAAACTATGCATTTCAAAACCTGTTGGAGAGATTTTTAATGATCGGATAAATATGTATTCATTTTAATTTTAGTTTGCAACTGATTACCCCAAACAGCTCTTGATAACACACATTTTAGATGTATATTCTGCATATTAAAAATAGAAAATAATCAAATTCTGAATCTAGTTACTGTCAGCATTCTAGGCCTTAGTCCTGCAAATAATTATGCACATGACTATAGGATGGCAGAGTTCTGCTGAAGCCAGTGTAATTACTCATGTACTTAAAGTTAAGCAAGTACGTAAGTGTTTGCAGGATTGGTCCCATAGTCCCTATCCTAGGTCCCAGTCCTGCAAACACTTGTGGCTGTTGTGTTTGACACAGTGTGTAATCTCTATTGAAGTCAATGGCAGTAGACGGATCAGGCTCTGAGAGATTTAATTTACTCCTTTGGACCAGATCCTGAGCACATTCATATGTGTAAGAGATAGCAGGACTAGGTCCTTTAAATAGCAACAGTGATTTCTGGGCTAATTTCCCCAAATTTATTATTCTTTATTGCTAGTCAAAACTACCTTTGCATTGTGCACATATCGTAAAACAATCTAAGCAGCCTTTCTTCTTAAATAAATGGGTACATCTCAAAAGTGATCTAATCTCTATTTTTAAAATATAAAGAAATTTGAATTAAAAATGGCTTTTGGACTCAACGTTCATATGCCAAGTTTTGCCCATAACACATTACTAACACCAGAATGTAAGGGTCTGTAGCGGGAATGCTGACACAGCGTTACCTTACGCTGTTATAATACATTTCTGTATAAAGGAGAGCAGATGCACATGGCAAAAGGGTAGCTCACCAATTGAAATGTTGTTCCCAATGTGCAGATTTGGCAAAAATCGGTTTTGAATTATGACATTTTTTTAAAAAATAGTTGTGCTTTTAGAACATTTGGACCCTGTTTCACAATGCATGTCCTTTATCAGACATTTTGAACATCATTGTGTCTCACTTATTACATACACGTGAATCATCTCTAAGTCAAAAATATGTTTCTGTGTGAAAGAAACTGCAAAAGGCATTGATTTCTGAGAGGAGGTTGACTTCTTTCTTAATCTCTGGATTCTTTTTTCCATTTAGGGTCTATTTCTATTCCTACTGAAGCCAGTGAGAAAACTCTCAGTGAATTCAATGTCACAGAATCAGGCTATTAGTCATTCAAAGGCATCTCCAGCCAACTTGATACTGATAACATCTCTATCATGAAAGCTGACCAAATGGGTCCATTACTACTAAATGCCTGTTTTAAAAAGTACTCCCTCTTTGATTTTTAAGTACAAACAACATTTACCACAAAAATATGAAGGGAAAAGCCATCACGGTTTTGTTTGCAAGTTATTACCTATTTGTATGACACAAAATCATTTACAGTCACAAACTGTACAGAGTAGTTGATAGGGGACAGCGTATTTGTGGCTTAGAGTAAAAAAAGATTGCTTCAGTTGTAATTAAAATAATCATTGACAGGATATAAGAGTTTAAAATCAATAGCATATGATAATCTGGCTACGGAGACACTCATTGCAATATGTCTAACACAGAGGTTTGGATAGTAGAAAGGTGAGTAGAAGGATCTAGGAAAGGAAAGAGATGAACATGCAGAGACCAATGCTAGTTCTTGCTCAGTATACTCTTCAGGCTTCTCTCTACTGCTTCATCTAATTCTTCTTCAAGCTCTTCCTTCTTGGACATAGCCAGTTTGGACTGGTAATCTCTTACTATTTGGTCTATATAGGGTGCGCTTTGTGTCCCATGTAGCATCAGTGTCCATTCCTTCAGTACTCCTTTCTGTGGCACGCTCCCAACAAACCCAATTTCCAGAATCCAAGTGCCTCTAGGGTCTTCTCCCCAAGTGTGTGTTGTCATGAAAGGCCATTTGTCAAAACCCACCTTGGAGTCATCATCTCTTGGCCGCCGGCTCAGTAAAATGGATTTAGTCCCCATCGGTGATGTCATGTTGATGTTGAGGTCCCCTCGCCTAGTAGAGTTCACTGTTATAACTGCTTGCACATGTTCCAGGTAGCGGACAAAATTTTCTTTCCCCTCACAAGCATCGGTTGTGAGTGACAGAACAAGCTTGCCACTTGATGGTATTTTTCTGAGGGTTAAATAACAATAAAAGAGGTTAAAATGAGATATACATGGTAATTTATTTTTTATTAAACATCCACGTGTATTTATACAAACACAAAAATATTGTAATAAAATTTGAATTGTAAGAATGAGAACTGTCATCTGTTCATCCCAGAGCCTCCTGATATAAAATGATGTAACCATTTCCACATTAATTCAAAGCAATGTATTGAACGGAAATGCAAAATTCAAATCTAGATCAATAGGAGTCAAACGTCATACTATACTCAATATTTAAACGTGCACACACAAACACAACCATTTTGCTACATTCTCCAAATGTCAAATCCTTTATAACGCCAGTCTTATGTAGACAAAGTTCCAGTGAATTCAACCACATTTGCCTCGATAAGGTAGAAGTAAAAATTAGGGACAACATTTATGGCCAGCCTCTGCTTGAATGTTATTTACACATCTTGGGTTTCACATTTTAACCTGTAATTACACTCTTTGTGCTTGTGTGAGCAAAACAATTATTCCCCAGTTGCCATCCCAAAAGGGATAGGAAAGAGGCAAAGCTGTGACTCATCCTTTCGGACACTAGCCAATGGCAGCTGGTAGCAGTGAGTTCACGCCCCTTGTGTCCCTGAGAACTCTGGAAGAAACTGTATGTCCCAGAGCAACAGTGCCACTGAGGAGTCATGTTGGTACAGTGTCACTCCACACTGCCAGTAGCACATGCCTATTAGCATTCTTGGATCCTGAAAAATTACCTCAAGAATTGCCTCACACATCAAAATAACTACAAAGCCGGTGTAAAAGTCTGTGAATGCTTTTAGCAGCAACATGCTGTAAATAGCCCAACATGTTAATATTTAAACAATATAGGAATTACTTCAGTCATTAAAAAAACTCTTTTGGTGTAATGAGCAAACTGCATTTGCTGTTTTACCTTCCCAAAAATTCTTCTGCATGTCTAATGTTCATGCCCCCCACATAATGCAACTGGTCATAATTTATAGTGTTGCATGTGCCACTCTTTTAAAAAGTGCAACATCAGTCATGCTGGGATGAAGAAATAGATTTTTCTCTTTAAAAAAAATAACATTTGCAGTCTGAAAAATGTAAATAAGGTTGACATTTTACTAAGTACAATTGTGATAACATGAGATGCGAAAGGATCTTTAGAAGGCTTATTTTTATATGGTCAAAATTACTTTTTTAGAATGCATAATGACAGGGTGCCTATTAGGTAGAAATGCCACCCAGCTGGACCTCATGTCCATAGGAAAAGTAGGGCTTAACATGGCCTCTGAAATGTTTTATTGTGTAAAATTGGGTTAGCTCTATAAGTATTGCTCGTCATCATTTTTTCCCTTGGCAGCATGACCATCCCCAGTGATAAGGCTGTTGACACTTAGCAACATGCAGTACAGTGAACCCTCGCTACTTCGCGGTTCGACTATCGCGGATTCACGACTTCGCGGACTTTTTTCATTACATTATGAATCCGCGATGGTCGAACCGCGAAGTAGCGGTTACCAAAACTTTAAAAAGCCTCCGGGGAAGCCGGCGGGGGGGCATCCCAGGCGCGCCTGGGCTGCTCCCCCGCCGGAGCCCCTCCGCGGCTTTCAAAGCCTCGGGGGAAGCCGGCGGGGGGGGCATCCCAGGCGCGCCTGGGCTGCTCCCCGCCGGAGCCCCTCCGTGGCTTTCAAAGCCTACTTCGCGGATTTTCACCTATCGCGGTAGGGTTTGGAACCTATCTACCGCGATAAACGAGGGTTCACTGTATATGTACAGTATTATGGGGGCTAATTTGGCTATGACAAATCAGGAAAGAGATCTTGGAGTTATAGTGGATAGTTCTCTGAAAACTTCCACACAGTGTGCAGCGGCGGTCAAAAAGGCAAATAGGATGCTAGGAATTATTAAGAAAGGGATAGAAAATACTACACAGAATATCTTACTGCCCCTGTATAAAACTATGGTATGCCCACATCTTGAATACTGTGTACAGATGTGGTCTCCTCACCTCAAAAAAGATATTTTGGCCTTGGAAAGGGTTCAGAAAAGGGCAACTAAAATTATTAGGGGTTTGGAACAGGTCCCATATGAAGTGAAGCTAAAGAGACTGGGACTTTTCAGCTTAGAAAAGAGGAGACTGAGGGGGGATATGATAGAGGTCTATAAAATCATGAGTGGTGTGGAGAGGGCTGATAAAGAAAAGTTATTTATTAGTTCCCATAATAGAACTAGAGGACACCAAATGAAATTAATGGGTAGCAGGTTTAAAACTAATAAAAGAAAGTTCTTCTTCACACAGAGTGTAGTCAACCTGTGGAACTCCTTGCCAGAGGAGGCTGTGAAGGCTAGGACTATAATAGAGTTTAAAGAGAAGCTAGATAATTTCATGAAGGTTAGGTCCATAAAAGGCTATTAGCCAGGGGATAAAATGGTGTCCTTGGCCTCTGTTTGTCAGAGGCTGGAGAGAGATGGCAGGAGACAAATCGCTTGATCATT